TGGAGTGCACACTCCTTTAATCCCAGCACCCCAGAGCAGAGGCAGACAAATCTCTAAGTTTGAGGCCAGCCTGATCTACATAGTGAGTTCTAAGACAGTCAATGCTACACAGAAAAACAAAAAATGGGGGGCCTGGAAAGATGGCTCAGTAGAGATCACTGGCTGATCTTTTAGAGGACCCAGGTTCAACTTCCATATGGCAGCTTATAACTACCTATAACTCCAGTTTCAGGGGATCCAACACCTTCACACAACAGACATACACAAATGCACATTAAATAAATATAATAAATATAATATAACAAATTATTTAAAGAGAGAGAGAAAAAGACTCTCACCACCTCCACCTTGTGCAACCCAGGGATTCCATACAAGTTACCTTCCTCATAATCTTTCGGCCATAAAACATTACTTTGTCTCTCTTCCGGAACCTGTACTGAGGAGTGGGCTCTGCTTGTCCTGTGAGAGGAGGGAAGAAGGGGCATGGTGAGAAGGCAGGGATCTGGATACAGCCTTGAATGGGTAGGCAGTGCACACAGCTGGAACCTGCACAAGACAGGCCCTGAAGGCGCTGACAAGAAACCATGCTCCCATTGCTCTATCCCCAGCTGCTGCTCAGACAGCTGGTGTCAGCGGTAACATTGGGGACTCACCTTAGCAGAGTCAGGAACTTCTGTTCTTACTGAATCCTAGCTTTGGAAAGAACAGAAAAGGGTAGGGACAGAACTCAACCTGATCCTTAGTAGGTGACCTGGGAACCTCAACCTGATCCTTAGTAGGTGACCATATTTCAACAAGGCTTTGAGGGAAGCTTCCAGGAGCTCCAAATACCTCGTAAGATACAAATGCAGAACCCCACCCCACCCCACTGCTCAGTCAGAGTCCAAACGAAGATACTTACGCAATCTGCTCACCCTTCTGTACACAAAAAAGATGGCAACACTAACAAAGGCCAGTGTTATGAGGGCTCCAATTCCAATCCCGACCAACTACACAGGATGGGAGATAGATAATAGGGTCAGTAGGGCCAAACACAGCCACAGGCCAATCACAGCCCAGTCCCTGGGAAGCCCATAGTGATTACCATGGTGAACTGTGAAGACTCCTCCATGAAATGCAGCCCCCAGGAGCTCAGGGTACTACCCAAACAATAGCCAGCCTGAGGAAAGAACAGACAGGGTGCCCAAGTTTCTCAGTCTGGGCTTGGTCAGAGAACAAGAGTAAAGCCAGGAGCTAGGGAGGAAGTCACTAGCCCTGAAGATTTTTGAGAAATGGAGCCCATCAGACAACTCAGTGCATAAGGCATTTACTGCCAAGTCTGATGACCTGAGTTTAATCCAGGAGACCCATACCGTGTCAGGATAGAACAGATTTCCATAAATTGTCCTCTGACCTCCACATTCATGCCATTACATTTGCACAGCTACACACAGAGAGAGATAAATATTATATATATATATATATATATATATATATATATATATATAAAATTTTAGAGAAATGATTTTGTCAGAGGAGCCAAGACCCTCTGAGCACAACTGCAAAAACAGAAAAGCAGCAACCTGTCTCCTTTGGCACTGGGATGAGTAGGCACAGTAGCTATGCTATTGACAACTGCCATGCATGATAATGCACAACTTCCAGCTCTCCAGTCCTCAAGAAGCAAGCCTAGGGGAGGTCAAAGCCATCTCTTGGAACCCTCTGGATACCAATAGGACTAGGGTTGTAAATCCCAAGATTCATGAGAGCCCACTCAGAATAAATGCTCAGACACTCCTAAGAGTGTGTGAAGCTGCTGACACCCACATTCGCTTTAGTCCCAGCTACCTGAAAGGCTGAGGAAGAGGATCGTGCACACCCAGGTTCAAGCCCTGCCTAGACGATCAGTGAGACCAAGTTTTAAAAACAAAAAAAGGATGGAGAACAAAAAGAAACCCCAAGGGAAGATCCATTTGGATTTAGAGATATCTAAAATCAGTTCACATGTCAAAGAAGAAATGGAAGGAAGGTTCTGCCTCTACCCCCCTGCTTTCTACAGGAAGTCACTGACAGGACTTCAGTTGTCCAAGGAAGGGAAGGAGACAGGAAAGCAAGGGCTCAGGATATAAGGGTGAATGTGTGACCAACAGAGGAAACTGGTTCATGGCAGGGAAGGTTACATGGATTTAGTCCACCACGTTGGGTGCCAATCTATTGGCTTTTTGGTTCCTGGCTGCCCAGTTAGCTTAGACCCGAAATAATCACACAGAAACTGTATTGATTAAATCACTGCTTGGCCCATTAACTCTAGTTTCTTATTGGCTAACTCTTGTATTAATTTAACCCATTTCTATCAATATGTATATCGCCACATGACTGTGGCTTAGCGGGTAAAGATCCCAGTGTCTGTCTCTGGTAGCTCCATGGCTTCTCCCTGACTCCGCCCTTCTTTCTCCCAGCATACAGCCTAGCTTTCCCTGTCTAGTTCTGTTCTTCCCTGCCATAGGCTCAAAGCAGTTCTTTATTCATTAACCAATAAAAGCACCATGTAGACAAAAGGACCTCCCACACCATTCCCAAATGCTGAAGACAGAAGGCACTTGACCTGCAGCTGTCCCTCGGTCCTCCAGTCTTCACCTACCCCGTCCTCTCGAACAGCAGTCAGGAACCGAACAGGGCAAGCGCCCACTTACTCACCCTTTGCAGTTTCTACCTAACTGCCAAGGACCAAAGCCTAGCCTTAAAAACAAACAACAAACAAGTCTCAGACTCAGCAATCCCTGCCAGAAAACCCAAGGAGAGCTGAAGGCCACTCAGGAAGGAACCCCAAAGGCACAGATCTGCCTCAGAACAGAGTAAGTGGGTCGCCTAGAAAACAGCCTTGTGATCTTAGCTCAGGGGACAAATAGCTGAGAATTAGTTAAGGGAGGGAAGAACATGTCCCAATATGTATGTTCTTAGGTGACTGCATCATTGAGTGACTGTCACAGGGTGCATTTACACAAGCACTGTTATCCCACCAAGCAATACAGTCTGTGGGATCAATATTGCATGCGGTCTATTGCGCAATGTACAGCCAGCAAGCTTCTGGTTTCAAAACTAAGGCACTCAAACTCTCTTTCTCCCCGGCTCCAGCTCAGCTCTCAAGACTGGGGTGCACAAGAGCACCCCAACTGCACCTTCTACTTTCCTCTGAGCTTGCCTTATCCAAGGAAAAACACCTACCTGCATACACAGTCTACCACAGTGGACCACCTCAGCCAGTCTAGCTTTTTATGGTTATTCTAATGGGTCCACTCTTCTGGTTTAAAAATGGAGGTGTGGGGTATAGTGGCACACACCTTTAGTCCCAGCACTTGGGAGGCAGAGGCAGGACAATCTCTGTGAGTTCAAGGCTATCCTGATTTACACAGAGTACTAGAAATGTGTAGATCAACCCTGTCTCAAAACAAAGCAAAACAACCACCAAAATACTACTTCTAATAAAGGCCTTTGGGATGTGTTGAATTGAGAAAAAGACTTCAAATACCAAAGTTCTATAAGAAAGCAGGAAGTAACAACTGCTACCTTAAGGGAAGAAAATAAGGTTTCAATAACGACTTAACAGCCAGGTTCCATTGTCCACCCTGTGAGGAACCATTGTCCAATAACAAGTGTCAAAGCTCTGATAGGGAAACACATTAAGTCACCATTCCCACATTTTCTTGGTCTTCTAGGAGTTTCTGTAGAAACCTGAAGCAAAAGATCCTTCTGTCCTCTGGAAATGTTCTCACCTGCCTGGTCTACCTACCTTAAGGCACACATCGTCCTCTTTCTGCATGACTGAAAGCAAGGCAATGTGGAGGGCGAAAAGGAGACAGGCTGGGACAAAGCTGCTCTCCCGGAACCTTTGCAGCAGGACAGCTGTAGTTCCAGCCTTGCCAGCTCCTTTCCAAGTCAAACGCTCTTATTGGAAGGGACTCCAGAACTCTGTGCTCCAAAACAAGTTGTTTTCCAGAAGCGTCGGCTCTCTGTGTGCTTCCGTCTCCTGTAAACAGCCCTCACGTGGTCTAAGGGGAACCCATAACTGTGGCTCGGGGTGGGAATGAGAGTGGCGGGGGTGGGGGGAGGTAGGGAATTGAGCGACACTCAGGGATCAAGCAGCCACCCAGAGCGGGACAGTGGCTGGGGTGGGGGAGGAGAGCAGAAGTGTAAGTTGGCTGACAGTTCATGGAGGGGAGGTGGGAGAGCTTGAGACTGGCGGTACAGATAAGAGAACGGTTCAGGAACGCGGCGAACCAACAAGCTAAGAGGAGGGAGACTAGGAGGGGGTGACCGACTGGAGGGTGAGCCTCACCCGGGAGGCTTGATGTCGCCAAGAGGAGAGACGAGGGATGGGGCGTAGAGGCTTTACATCTCAAGAAAGGGCCAACAGGGGTCACAGCCCAGAAGGGGTCTCGATTAGGAGGGGTGAGGGACGGGAAGGTGGTTATAGCCTAGGAGTGATCACGTGAGGAGAGCCTTGACAGCGAGGGAGGGAAAAGGAGGGCATGGTATCAAGAAGCGTGAAGGGTGAGGAGGGACCTAGACACAGCGGGTAGCGTGTGGAAAGGCAGCGCAGGCACGGTGGGTGTGTTGGGACCAAGGATGATTAACTAGAGGGCCATTAGGACCCAAGTAGACTTGGCCACGCGCCAGACCGCCGTTCACTGGCCTAGTCCCCAGCAGCGCGTCAATCCCGGAAACCACGGTTCGGTAGTGACTCCAAGGGTCCACAAGCCCCGACCCCCAGACCTAGGGCAGCACCGATGAGCCCGCGCCAGTCCGGCAGCCATCCTTCGGCGCCGCGGTGGTGAACGTCCGGTCGCGGGGCTGACGAGGGCCAAGAGCGATCTCTGCACAGGCCAGCCCTAGACCGCCACCTCGCGGCGTACGGTGAGTACGCACGGCCGCGCGCGCTCCACATCCGGTTCTGCGCGGTTGAGGCTGGGCATGGGGCGCGCTGGCGACCAATCCGCGAGGCTCTTGCTGCGGAGTGGCTGGCCCCGCCGACGGCCGGAAACGCAAGGGTGGACCTTGTAGGGGTAGTTTTATACGACTCGGGTCGGGGGATCGGTGTCTGAGCGGTCTCAAGTCGGAAGCGACAAGAGGCCTGCGGGCCGAGCTCGAGATCCATCTGCCCAGGTCGGTTTGAGCGTTTCCATTTGGCGCCACCCCTGCGGAGTTCTTCAGGGTCCGGGATTAGGGATAGTCTCCACCTTTGGGGTCTTGGGTCCTCTGCTACACGGGTCATCTGCCCGCAGGGCCCACAGCACTCTCGGCTCGTGAGTTCTAGGGTGCCGAGTCCCTCTGGCTCTAATTGGCCCCCTCAACTGCCTTGTTCTTTCAGAACTGTCTTCTGCAGAGCCCGGCATGGGTTTCCTGACCGCGGTGACTCAAGGCCTGGTGCGGGGAGCGGACAGGATGAGCAAGTGGACAAGCAAGCGGGGACCACGCACCTTCTACAAGAGCCGAGGTGCTAAGAGAACAGGCATCTATGCCTCAAATGGGAAGTTTGTGCAGATAAAGGAAATGGTTCCAGAATTTGTCGTCCCGGACTTGACCGGCTTCAAGCTCAAGCCCTATGTTAATTACCGAGCTCCTGCAGGCGTTGACACACCCCTGACCGCCAAAGCGCTTTTCCTGGAAACTGCGGCACCTGCTATTGAAAAAGACTTTAAAGAAGGGACTTTTGATGCTAACAATTTGGAGAAATATGGCTTTGAGCCCACACAGGAAGGCAAGCTGTTCCAGTTGTATCCTAAGAATTTCCCACGCTAGAAAACTGTGACAGAGACCAAAAGTTTGCCTATGAAGTGGAGACAATACAAGCCTTCGATTCTGAGTGTCTCGAAAAGGAGGAGCAGCTTCTTTGTGCATTTCTATTAAAGGCCTTTGGTAACTCATGCAATGTGTGTTTTGAATCAAGTCACTAAAGTAAGTGAGCCGCAGGGCAGAATACATGCAGTAGCTACAGAGTCTATAACAAATTCCAACCGAGTCAGGTCTGGGTACCTCTCTGGCTCCAAGTCAGAGAGTAGTAAGTATCCCCAAGGAAAACGTAAAGATGGAAGTGACAAAAGCAATCAATGCCAAACTGCTTTTTCATGACCCCTGTACCCGATTTGTCACCGTTCCTCAGATGTTATATGTCCCTTTAAGACTTAGCTGACCCTTACATTTAATACCTTTTATTGAAATAAATGGGCCAGTAACTGAGAATTTTGTTTTTTTTCAGTTTTTCGAGACAGGGTTTCCCTGTTTATCTCTCTCTTGCTGTCCTGGATCTGTAGACCAGGCTGTCCTCAAACTCACAGAGATTTGCTTGCCTCTGCCTCTGCTGGGATTAAAGGCGTGCACCACCACTGCCCAGCAAATTGATCACTTTAATGATAATCAAAAAGCTACAGAGAAACCCTGTCTCAAAAAAATCAAAAAAATAAAAATGTTATTTCATCAAAAAATAACAAGGACTGGGGAAAGTTATGCCCATCTAGTGCTTGCCATGCAATCATGAAGACTTATGATTAAGCCCATGATTATAATCTCAGCACTAGGAAAGACAGCAGGATCTCTAGGGCTTGCTGCCCAGTCAAGTCTAATCAGTTAACCTCAGATCCCAGTAAGAGACCTTAGCTCAAAAAAAGACAAGGCCATCATCTTGAATGGCACCCAAGATTGGCCTGTCTGCCACACTCAGGCATATATGTACACACACAAACAAAAACAAGGCATAGTGTTGCACACTTGCAGTCCTAGCATTTAAGACTAGGAAGGGATTACAAATTTCAGATCAGCCAGGGCTACAAAGGAAGATTTTTCTTTCTGAGACCAGAATCTTTCTGCACATCTTTGGCTGTCCTGGAACTTGCTATGTAGACCACCAGGCTGGCCTCAACCTCACAGAGATACACCTTCATGTGTTTGCTGAGTGCAGGTATGAAAGACATGCACCACCACTCCTGGCTAAGGCCCTGTATTAAAAGAGCAGAAGGGCATAGTAATCTCATACCTATGAACCCAGCATTTGGGAAGATTAGGTATGGAGGCCGCCAAGAGTTCAAGTCAACCAGCCTGGACTACACAGGCATGGGAAAGAAAAAGGTAGTGAGGCTAGGAGTACAATTCATTGATGGATAACCGTAAGCCCTCGAGCACGTGCAGTTCCTGCATTTGATGTCCAACATTTAAAGAAACAAAAACACCATTTTCTCTTCAAAACACTTGTGTACCCTTCAAAGGGTTAGACACATTCCAATGCCTTTTCCTCCCAGATATTAAAAATGGGAATGTTGGTTGCTGCACACCCGATATGTTCCTGCAAAACCCATCTATCTAGACATGAAAACTGATCAAGCTATTAATGCTATAAGTATCTCATACTGACCATGCCAAACACTCCAAGTTTGTGTTCCCTGAAGCAGCTTACAATGTTTACACGCCTCCTTTTATTCTAGTATCCATTTTTAAAATTAGTTCAGAGCTGGAAATAGTGTTTGGCTAGCATTCCAATACCAAAAAATAAAACTATAACCTCTGTTTAGGAAATGGCTTCTAATGTGATAAAGTGAGACTTTAAATGAGGTACTATGGGGCTAGCAGGATGGCTCAGTGGTACTTACTACCAAGACTGCTAACTAAGTTGGATCCCTGGGTCCCATGTTAGGAGATCCAACTCCTGCCAGTTGTCCTCTGATCTCCACGTGTGCACAGTGGTGTTTGTACCCACACAAAAATTAAAAAACCAAAAACAAAAAAAACCAACTTAGGGACTACAGGCTAAAGATGGTTCAGGAGTTAAGAGTACTGCCTGCTCTTTCAGCACCCACAAGGTGGCTCCCAGCTGTCAGTCTTTCAGGTGATCCAACATCCTCTCTTAACCTCTGGGAGCACAGCAAAGCACTCATATACATAATTGTTTTTTGTTTTTTCTAGATAGGGTTTCTCTGTGTAGTCCTGGCTGGAGTCAAACTGAAATCTGCATGCCTCTGCCTCCCAAAGGGTAGAATTAAAAAGGTGTGCGGCACCACCACATGGCTTTTAAATCTCTCTCTCTCTTCAAGACAGGGTTTCTCAGTAGCTATGGAGCCTGTCCTGGAACTAGCTCTATAGCCCAGGCTGGCCTCGAACTCACAGAGATCCACCTACCTCTGCCTCCCGAGTGCTGGTATTAAAAGGCATGCACCATCACTGCTCAACTGTTTTTCTGTTTTCTTGAGACAGAGTTTCTCTGTGTAATAGGCTGTCCGGGAACTCATTTTGTATACTAGCCTGGCTTGGAACTCACAGAGATCCACCTGCCTCTGTCTCCCGAGTGCTGGGATTAAAGGCATGTGCCACCACTACCATGCAGATGGAATTTTTTTTTTAACTGAAAGGTTTAGGATCTTATTGGGTAAGAGCATATATTCTTGCAGAGGACCCAAGTTTGGTTCCCATGTAGTGGCTCACAATCACCTGTAATGTTAGCTCCCTCTTCTGGCTTCTTTCAGCATCCACACACAAACATAAACACACATATGATTACAATTTTTTTAAAAATTTTAAAAATTTGAAGTTATTTAATATAAATAAGGACTTAATGAAGGGCTGAATATCAAAACACACCAAGATACTTAGTTGTAGAGCTGAAAAACACCATTCACTGCCAAAACAATCACAAAGTCCATTTTCAAAGGCCAGCACTCCCCAAGTCACATCCAGTATAGATGCAAAGAGTGCAGTCTCAAGCTTGCTTTGTCTTCCACTTCCAGAGGTGGAGAACATGGTTGTAAAAGGAGCAGGTGGCCAGGAGGCTATTGTCAAAACTCCCTCCACCAGAGAAGAGGCTGAGATCACAGATCTTGGAAGAGGAGTGTAGCTGGCTGCTGCTTTTCATGTCCTCTGTTATTGAAAGGAGAGAAGCCTCCAATTCAGCTCTACTGGGAGCATTAGCAGGGCCATCCATGTAGTGGTCCACTACTTGTTCATGGAAAGGCACTGGTGGCTCCTCGGCAACCTTCAGACTGGGGCGGTCTGCAGCTCTGGTTCCCATCTCATTCTGATCAAAGGAGCAGGTGGATGTGGGCTTCGTAGAATGGCAAAGAAGCCAGGACCAGTCAGCCCCATATACTAATGAGTTTGGCATTTCATGGGCTATTGAGACAGTTACGTCCTGCTTCTCCTCTGCAGCAAGAGACAGAGAGGAAAATCAGCATTATTCAAAGCTAACCAGCCTCCATTTATGTCTCCCTCAGCTTCCACCAAGAGCAGCCATTCTATCAGCACACACATTCACTGTCTGCAGAAGAAGAATGAAGATGTGCACAGGTGGGCAGAAAAGAAACCAGATGTGCATTTTGCAATGTGCACTGTGCCTCTGAGATCAGCCAGGTCTAAACGAGACCCACAAACAAGGGGCATGCTTCCCAACTGGAGGGTTTGGCAAAGGCTTTCTAGAAGGCGGTGTAACTCACTCACAAAGGACACAGAAGTAAGATGGAAGAGGACAGAAAATAAATGGGGAGCACAGAGCAAGAGAGATGGCTCAACAGTTGAGAGAACTTGCTGCTCTTGGAAAAGGCCTGGGTTCGATTCACAGCACTCACATGGCAAGTAATAACTACTGGTAACTCCAGTCCCGGAGATTCCTAAATCCTCTTCCGGCTTCCTCAGGCACCAGGCATGCACACAGTACTCATACATACATGCAGGCACTCACACATATACACAAAATATTTTTAAAAGATAAAAAAATGGAGAACACACGTGGAGTACAGAGACTAAGAGGACCACAGCAAGGATGAGGAATGAATGGCAAATGCCTCTGGCTGTAGCCCAGTGGCTAGGAACTTGCAGTCCTGAGTAGGTCTGCAGAAGAAGTTTCTTTCTGGTAATTTCCCCCAGACAGCCTGGCAAATCAGGGCTTGGAAAGAGAAAGGGCAATGAGAAATGGTTCTGATAATGTTAGTTCACAGTGTGGTTCACCAAGCAAATCCAAGAACGTCCTACAGCACACCCTAGAAGACAGGCTCTTTACCTACAGCCACAGGTAGAGTTAGGCTTAACTAATACCAGGTTCTGTGAGAAAGGGAACAAGAGGAAGGCAACACGTGTGAGCCATGGGGAGACCACAGTCTACGCTGTTCAAGAGAAAGCAGGGTAGGGATGGTCATGTGACAAGGGGTAATGTTTCTGGACAGGGCCCCAGTGCAGTCAGAACTGCAAAATGCAGGAAGACTTAAACAACTGATCTGGGCATGAGGAAATCAGGATGAAAGTGGGTTCTTGAAATTGAAGTCCAGTGCTGCACAGGGCAGGGCTGTGGCAAGTTCTGGGTGTGGTCTATGGAGAAAAATCAACTGACTCCCTACCCTGAGGCCAGCTCTATGTTCCCACTTACCAATGGCCTTCTGGCAGTTGAGAATCTTGAAGCCATTGTACATGCAAGCCGCCAGGAGTAGGTGGTGGTAGACTGGGTGCCACTTGAGCCTCCATACGCCTCCTTGCACTGGCACATCTGCCAACGGCTGCTTTATGTTCCGAGTGTCCCAAAGCAGAACATGCTCATCATAACTAGAACCATCCACCAGACATTTACATACAGGAAAGTCCATGCTCATATCTTCCCTAAGACCTTGTGGTGTCAGCAAACACCTCCCAAGTCCTGGCCCACTCACTTTTTTTGAGACAGGGTCTCACTATAAAGCTTTGGCTGACCTGGAACTCACGATACAGATCAGGCTGGCCTGAAACTCATAGAGATCCACCCTGCCTCTGCCTCCTTGGTGCTGGGGTTAAAGTCCTGCACAAACAGCCTGTCTCATTTATCTTTAAGGACATAGGTAAGCCCCACTTTCTGGACCCAGATACCTGAACTGTGGTTTGGTTGAGAGCTTCGTACGCAATTTTGAATCCTTGTGGAGAA